ATATATATATATATATATATATATATATATATATATATATATACAGGGTGTCCAGTAACTGATCGAGCAACCGCCGTGTACGGGTTCAAGAACGGATCAAAATAACCATAAAAGTTATATATCATTTTGAAATTTTCTCAATATTTATTCTGTAATTAATTAAACGTATAAACGAATGAGCTCACGAGAAGCGGTAGGACAGGCTCTGTGTGTAAAAGAAATGGCTTACCCCTCTTAGCAACGATAAGTAAACAACTGATTTCGAGGCGAAGTAACAAGCGACACGTATACGTTACTCCGAAAATACGTCTCGAAATCAGCTATTTACTTATCGTTGCTAAGAGGTAAGTCATTTCTTTTACATACAGAGCATGTTCTACCGCTTCTCGTGAGCTCATTTATACATTTTGATTATTATACGTTTATACATTTTAATTAATTACGGAATAAATATTGAGAAAATTTCAAAATGATATATAACTTTTATGATTATTTTGAGCTATATATATATATATATATATATATATATATATATATATATATCGATATAATACAATTTGACACACAATTTAAAAGGTTATTCATATGTGATGCAATTTTATTTATAGAATTTATATATCAAATTAGACATTACATATGTTTCAGTAATCAAATAGTACTGCTTCATAATTACAATGAATATTCTATAAATAACATCTAGCATATAGATAACATTTTTTAACTCTTTACAATAAATTGTATCAAATATACTGTTACGTTATCGTCAAATAATGATCTTTAAGTATTTGCGATAATTTGATCTTACACAAAATTTTTTCTTTTACTTAAAAATTCTATTTTTAGAGCATCATTCTTTCTTACTTAAGAATAAACAAAATAAACGTACATATTGCTCAATGGATCTTAGCTTTTTTATGATTTTTATAGTTTATACTCTTTTTATACTTGTTCTTTGCGGCTAACCAGATAATATCGCAGACATTTTGGTTAATATAAAAATAGATTATTTATCTCAATTGGATAAAGTTAATATGTTATTCGATTCATTATCTTGCTGTTGTATTATAAGTGCATATGTACTTAATAATCAAATGTATTCTTATTAAAATGTATAATTATAAAAGTTATGTGCATTCATGTCAATGCATATTACGCCGCCAATAATTGAACTTTTCATTTATTTAAGATGTGTAACAAAACTGAAATAATCGTGGCCTTTTCCTACCAAATTTTGTCATATCGTTATAAGAATTGTTAGTATAGATTATCGATTAACTTGAGCACAAATTTGTTATTGCATTATTAGTAACTAAAATGTTACTTATATTAAAGCGGAAAATGTATAAACTTAAAAATAATCGAAATGTTAGCGATATTCGAATAATCGAAATATCTGTGATTTATCACATATCAATTACTGATCGCGTTTTCTATCAGGAATAAAAAAAAACTAAAATTGCAAAAAATAAATTTTTTGCATGCGACGTATGAAAATATAAAAATAAACGCAAAAGATATTTAAAGAAAAATAAAAATAGAATGTGAACGATTACAAGAAAAACAACGTATTTTCCAATTGTGAGTTTGGTGGCTGATGAATGAATTTACTTACTAAGAATGCTAATTTGTGAGCATAGTGGCAAGGAGCCGGTACTCGGACAGTGTTTGAACAATTGTAGTACATATGGGTTAACTTATATGTGAGACGTTGCATCTTATCCGGATCCAAGCCAATATTATCATAAATAACGTTATACGAAGTGGGTGTTATTGTGCCCTGTCTCACTTGCTGCGACACGACAAAGAAGTCATATCTGATGGGACAAGTGATGACATCATCGACCACCGTACCTGTCGGTGGATTCGTATTGTTCCAGAAGAATCTGGTATTGAGACGCTTTGTCACAACCACGAATGACATTCTATACTTTTCACCACCATATAGGTCGTTCAATTTCTTGCGTAAATCCACGACTTCTTGCTCCATTACCTGCGTCAATTGGCCCTCGCCAACGCCGTCGCGATAAATCAAAATGCGCGCGGGCAAACTTTTGTTGTGCGCGCGATACGCTACCGCAGCCTTATGGATGTTTACGGCAAATGTACGTGATAGTTCATTACCGTCCATATGTGCGGTAGTTGTGCTGTAATATTTTGTGAGACTTTTGTCTAAGGACGCCACCATTGCGCCTGTAACAAATTATTAATTTATATGTAATAATATTGTATAAAGCGGTATTTATTTATTTACTAGATATACAAAACAAGTCTTAAATATTTAAAGTTATTAATTTTGAATCTTTGTATGCATCCTCCTAGCGCACTGCTCTTATTAATCTTTTCTTATATATTTGACGAATTATTAATTCAGACAGTATAAGATCTCCTGAGGACATCCTAAGGACGTCCTGAGGATGAAGAAATGTCCTCAGGACTTCTTCAGGATGTACTCTGGATGTCCCCTGGACATCTGTGCTGTTAGGGAATATTACAAAAGAGAGTAGATGTGCGTTTAATGATAAAAATACATTACTTAATATAATAACATTCTGCACTACACACAACGCACTTGTAAAAAGATTATACTTTCAAAATTCCCTCGTTCTTTTTATTTTTATAAAAGTATAAATTTTTTTAGGTCGACTTTGAACATATTGACAAACTATAATAAAAAATAACTTTAAACGAATAAGCCAGTAAAGAATAATATTTAGATAATACAGACAACTTAGATAACAAAAAATAATTTTGCGATATGTATGAACGAATTCGGAATACTTACCGAAATCTTTGCCCGGATTTGCTGTATCGTGGCAAACATCGAATCCAATAACCATTAATCCTTCTATTGGAACTTCTATGCGCCATGGTGCTCCGCCTAACTTACAGTTCATCTGTATCGCTACTTTCGTAGCGATAGATTTGACGTTCTTATGTATCAAATTCTTTTGCAAATAGACTTGTGACGGTACAGGTCGATCCACACAGCATTTCTTTTTAATCGCCGAATAACGATCTATGCGATTATTTTGTACTATGCAAAATATTAATTGCGGTATTTGCTTGGATAAAATTTCTTCGAGAAATTCGCTATATCCACTTGGCCTGTCGTCTCGAATAGTAAGTATTTTAGGCTGCTCCACGTGGAATGATATTCCCCGTGATACTTTCAACAGCATGTCTATAAAATTCTGAAATAAATATTGTAGATCAAAATATGGAAAACTATATAAATATATTTGTTTAATTAGAATTCGCAATGTGACATTGTATGTACGATATACAATATAGCTTGTTTATATATTGCTATATTGTATAATACGATGTACAATGAGCGCGAGTCCATATGGGTAACGCTCGCGGGCGTCATTCTATTTTTGTTGCTCATTGGATGTTAAATAGAGTTAGTATGACGCTCGCGAGCGTTGCGAGTATGTAACGGAACGCGTCTAATATAGCAATATATAAACGAGTGAAAGATTATATATATATATATATAAATATAAATATATATATTTATAAAACCTTTATTATATATATAAAAGATTACACACACACACACACACACACACACACACATAATATATACAGGGTGAATATTATATACCGGAACACCTGAATATCTCGAAAACAAAGCGTTGTATAAAACAATGTTAAATACAAAAGTTGTAGGGTTTAAAAAGATCTATTTTATGATATTAGCAGTTTGACCTTGAGTTGCGTCATAAAGATCAGGTCAAGGTCACAATGATGTTTTTAAATGGATACCCCCATTTTTTATTGTATATTCTTGTAGCTTATCTCGAGAGCTTTCCAAAACACTATACTTAAG